TGCAGGCCCTCAAGGAAGAGTTCCACCAGGACCTGTCCCGCCGCTACGGGGCAGCTGCCCTCAAATACCTCCCGGCCCTGCAGCAGCCCCGGAGCCCCGCCTGAGCCTCCCTGGACCTGTGCCTCCGCTCTCCTCCGCCTCGCTCACACGCTGCCTGCAGCCGCCTGCCACCCTCCCACTGCTGCCGCAGCTATTTAAGTTATTTAAGGTCTCTGTGGGTGGGCCTGGGCCCCTGCTCCTGTGCCCCAGCTGGTTTGGGGCTGGCTTCCCCATCCTCCACTGCACATTCCTTTCTGATAATTAAAAGTTTTAAGGTTATTTTTGTGTCCCTCCTGGTTTGAGGGATCAAGGGCTCTCTAGGGTCAGAAAGTATCAAGGGCCAGGGGAGGCCCCGGTCCGTCATGGGCAGCAGGACCCGGGGAGGGCAGAGGCTGGAGCTGGAGTGTGTCTTCCCCCCACCCTGCCCCAGACCCAACACCATGAGGCCGAGAGACTTTATTTGGCTTTATTTAGTAAAATGTTAAAATAAATAAATACAAATTGATCAGCTGCTCTGTATCCCCCCACCCCCTCAAAATAAAAACAAAACAAACAAAAACAAAAACTTTGAAGCACAAAACTCCAAATACAAGTTCTACCAAGACTGAAATCACAAAGGGCATGGACAAGAGACAGGATTGGGGTCTGGCTGGCTCTCCTGCGCTTGGAGCTTGCTGACCTATGGCCTGCTTGTCCGGCCCACCTGACTGCAACGCACCCTGGGCTGGAGCCAGGACCCTGGGGAGGTGGGGGCCTCACCCGTGGGGCGGGCGCAGCCCGGGGAAGAGCATTGGGAGGGTTGTCCGGGCGAGCCCTGCCTCCCTGCCAAGAAGTTACTTGAGAGCCCTGGTTCTCGAGGGATGCCCCCCCACCACTAGTGGGAAGGCCAGAGACGTTCGCCAGGGGCCACCAACTCCCTTAGAGAGGTGACCCGGGGGAAAGGTTGAAGTCAGTGAGTACAGGACTCCTGTTTCCTGCCAGGGTGCCCTGCTGAGGGGTGGGGCAAGGTCCCAGTCATTTACACAGAGCAAAGTTGCCTTCATCCAGCAAAAGCTATGGGATCTGGAGCGCCCAGGGCCTGGAAGATGTCCCTGGGCCACCATCAGTCCTGCTACCCTCGGCACCTTCTGCCCCTGCAGTGAAAGTCTCCTAAATTCAGCCCTTTAGGTAAGTGAGGACCACACCCAAGAAAGGAGTGAAGGGAAGAGACTGTGTTGAGTGTGTGAGCTGGGGTGGCGCTAGAGCCCAAGGAGGCTCAATGGCCCCAAGAGCGTGCCAGAGGTGGCGAACAGGCAGCTATACCCGCAGACGGGCCAGTGCTGAGAACTCCCCAGGCCTGAGCCAAGTAGCAACAGCGCCAGAGAGGTGGCCAGAGGGAGGCTGCCCAAGCCCTGTAGCAGGCGCTAGAGACAGGCCCCACACGGGGGAGGCCCGGCAGGGACTGTCAGGCACCTCCAGACAGGCTTGCCCCCAAGGGCCTGACAAGGAAGGAAGAAATCAGAATCAGATGAGCTTAATGGGGTGGAAGTGTGAGGCAAGACCCAGCAGGCTCCTTGGAATAAAAAGGACCTGCAGGCCAGGTATGCAAAGTGAAGGTAGGAAATAAAAAGGAGGAATGACGGCAGCGTGACCCCATAGCACCCCAGCTCCTGGGCCGAGCCTGATCAGGGAGGACATGGGGACTCCCAGTTCGCGGAGGAAGCGGAAGGACCTGCAGGCAGCAAGAACGCAAATGTGAAGATGACTCAGCTAAGCAGACTTTCCAGCCCCAAGCAGGACTGTGCCTGACCTGGGGCAAAAGGGGGTTCCTAGTCCAGGCCCCCTGCAGTGGCAGCAGAGCCAGCCTGTCTTACATTTGTGGGTGTCAGAGCAAGGGAAGCAAAGGAGGAAGAGGAGGCGGCAGCTCAGGCGGGGTGGTGGAGTGGGCAAGTGTCCCAGGGGGTCACAGGCACCCACAGGTGTGGCGGGACAGAGTTGAGCTCCTGGTTTGGCGGACCAGTGAGGCACAGGAGATGGCGTGGCCAGGGCCCTTCCGTGACGGTGTGGTGGTATCTTAGAATTTGAGCCCAGGATGGAGGCTTGGGACGGGGCTGCCATTTATACTCCGTAACAGCTTGTGTCTGAACTTTAGGGAGAAAATGTTCCTTGACTTTAGGTGAGGTCAGAAGGTAGTGGTCAGCGCTCAAAGAAGCAGGCAAAACTGGTCCCTCCCTGGCCTGGTCCCCAAGCCCGCACTTCTCGGAGCAGAGGCTCCTTTCCTGAAAGGACAGGTACTGTGTGGCAAGCCCTAGCCTATGGGTCCAGACACGTCTGCAGAGTGCTCTGAGACAGGCGTTCAGCCTCTGCTGGCCTCAGATCACCTGCCAATGATCGCCCCAACTAGTCCAGGCATCTCCAAGGCTCCCTGACTAGACATAGCACCTCGGTTTCTCAATGAGAAGAGGGGGTTCCTCTGTTCCCCTCAACCAACCTGGCAGCCAGGGCCTGCCTCTGAGGCCTACGCAGCCATACCCAAATCCTTCTTTCCATACCCGGCAAGGATGAGCACGATTACTCTAAGAAGCATCTCTTCTGTTGCTGTTTCAGAATCCACCTTTGTCTCTCTCGGCCTGACTGGGTGAGAGAGAAGCTAAGGGGCCTCTTCTGCCACATGTAGACTCTGGCCATCACAGGGCCTGGGAAGAGATGCTGCAGCGGGGCCACAGGCAGAGCTTCTGCTTCTGTCCCTTCCGCAGGGACACGCAATGGACAAAGAGCTGCAGCGAGAACACACATCTGACAGGATTTACTTCCCACGCGGCATGACAGACGTCCTGAGCCTTTCAGAACCTGGTCTTCCCAAGAAGGAAAGGACACAACAGGCCAAGCCAAGGCAAGCACAGCGATTCCAGCCCAGGGTTGCCCAGGAGCTGCGGGTGGGCGGTGCCTGGAGCCAGCAGGCAGAGAACATGTGGAGCCTCCCGACCTCTCTCCAAAGCAAGACAGTCTCAAGGCCGAGCGGCTCTGTCTCTTGAGACGAACGTCCCCTCCAGCGCCTCCCTCCTCCTCTGTTCTCTCAAAGCACCAAGGGCTGATGCAGCCAGCCTGCACCACACCCACCGAGGGGCAGCAAGGGGCCTGGCTGGCCTTCCCCTCAGAGGTGCCCTAGGCACTCGTAATGCTGGTGGCTTAAAGACCGAGAGCAGCACCAAAGGAAGGATCTTATTGAGGCACCAGCCTTTGCTCTAGCAGAAACTGAGGAGACTGTGGGGAGGGCCCTGATACCATGCACACTCCATTTGGACTCAAAAACAGGAGATGAGATCCCTAAACCAGGAAGAAAGGGCCGTCTGTGTGAGAAGGGAGGGCCGCGGGGAGCCCGCGGCCCTTCCTGGGGACTGGCCCACCAGTTCAGAGACACAAACACAGCAAAATGTCATCAGGATCAGCAGGTTCTGTGCTAAAAAATTATAACTACACGGCATTTTCTCCAGTTCTGACACCTTTTTAATAGAAATCACTGTTTTTAGGAAACAAATAGCACTTTTGTAATTTTTTTTTACAATGTTTCTTAACTTGATCTTTAAGTAACACTAGGAAGACCTCAGTATCTTTTATTTTCCTTTTTAATTTAAAAAAAAAGTTGTTTTTTTCCCCAGATACAAAGATTTTTGCCCTTGCATAAAAAAACAGTGCCCAAACGATGACACAGGACTCACAAAGACTCACTGACCTCACTGACACTATGATTCCTATTCTACCATGCAAGGTCTTGACTACCTTAACTGGACTGTCAGCCTGAAAAACTGCTTTTCTATTCCTTATTTTAGTTTTTGTTACCAAAAAAGTAAAATAAGTAACAAAATAAAACTTTCTTTGAAGGAAAAAAAAAAAGAAAAGAAAGAAAAAGGAAAGAAACATCTCCGTTCGACTCACACACACCTGGGTCGTGCTGCTTCGCTCAGGGTCCTCTTAGAAATACAGAAAAGAGGGCGGACGCTTGTTTTCAAGTAAAATCACCAATTCACCCTATTTCCTTCCTGGACCGTGCACACCTCTCTTCCCTGCCTCAGGCGGGGCGAGGCCAGCAGGGCCGCTTGCCTCGGTCTCCAGGGACTGAGGGGGCGCGGTCTGGGAATGCGAGACACCACGCAGGGGATAAGGGGAGGCAGAGGCATGGGAGGCGGCGGGCACCCGGCAGGAGCAGAGCTGGGGAGGAGAAGCTGTCGGCCTTCCCGTGCCCCTGGCGACAACACGAATACTGCTATGGAGAGATTTCCCACCCGCGCTCCCGCCCCGCCCCGCCCCTGGGCACTGGGGTTGGTTAAATCTCGATTTCTTTTTTTTCTTTTTTTGGTTTGATAGTAGTGAAAGTTTAGAAACAGGAAAGCCCACACACTCTTTGGACTTGTCTTCTCTACCTAGACAAATGGCTCGGCTCGGCAAATAAGGATCTGAAACCTGCTCTCCTCCCTCCGCCCATCCCTGCTCCCCACCCAACAAAACAAAAACAAACCCATCGTGGCTGTGGAGGCTGCTGCAGGCACACACTGGTGTATAATAGAGAGAGTAAATATATTATTTCACTTGGCATGGTGCTGGCAAAGAACCTCCAGCTGGCACTATTTCATGTAACATGGTCCAATCTTTGCATGTACACACAGAATAAGAAGGATCAATTGGCAAACTCGGGTGCCACCTGGCACAAGCATCTTCTCTCTCTCTGGAACCAAAGAACCAAAAGAATTCTGTACTTCCCAGAAGCGATCCGGCTTTGCTTTTCTAGAGTCTTCAGTGCTTCGCTCTCCTTGCCGCCGGGATCCCGTGGCTTCTCGAGGGCTCTGTTATTTAGTCTCTTCCCCCGCGTTACAGTTCGCTGTGCAGCTCTGGGAGGACGGGGACGGGGCAGGCGTGGAGGCGGTGGCGCTGACAGGGGGCGTGCAGTCCGGGCCGTTGGAGATGGCCCCCACCGTGGCCTCAGAGTCCACAGGTTTGGAGAGGTCGATGCCGTGGATGAGGCGGATTAGCTGTTTTACCTTCTCCAAGGAGCTGTGCATCTCCTTCTGCCGGGCTAGGATGGTGTTCTTCATTTCCATGCATTTCTGCAGCAAATGAGAAGGCGGGGCCCTGAGCAGCCTGCTTTTCTAAAGGCCTGGCAGCCTCACAGGGGAGCAGCCTCTGCCCCATAAAAGAGCCCTGTGGGGCAATGTGCAGCGCCCAGAACTTGCTTGGCTCCACCTGGAGTGGTAGCTACTTCCTGAGCAAAGGGAGCCCCCAAGGGGCAAGAGAGGGAACAAGCGAACGGCTTAAAAGCCAGTTCTACTTGACACTAGCACTTAAACCGAACGTGCATAACCGCCACAAAACTGTGCAATAAAAGTCACTTACAGGCTTCCCACAGCTGCCCTGACGCTGGCTGGAGCGGACACAGTGTGCTCTGCCACACTAACGGGTGGCCCCGAGGACCATACTGAGCTCTGGGCAGAAGACTAGCTAGCAGTGACATCTGGGTTCAAGCGGAGGGCCTGGGGTGCATCACTCAGTCCCTAAGAGCTTATCAACAGGGCCCGGGAAGGCCTGAAGGGTTCAGGGGACCTGTCTCCTGAAGCCCTGCCCTTAGCCCCACAGCTGCTGGCTGCGGCTCTACTGGGGGTGTGTGTGAGGGAAAAGCGAGTGAGTGGGACAGCTCCCAGGTCTGAGCGAGCGAGGCTGCCCTGTTCTCCTCAGGGGAAAGGTAGCCTGCTACTGTCTGAAGGGCTTGGTGCCCGCCTGGCTGGGGTGGGCCAGGCAGCACACACTTCTGATCCCTTTCACTGGGACCCCTCTTTGTCACACTGCTCAGGAAAACTAGGACGTGCTGTCGGGACAGTGTGGAAGAAAGGGGGCGAAGGAGGGGCCCATGGGTGTCCAGGAGTCACACCAGGGACCCAGTCTGTGTCCACTCAGGCCCAGGCCAAGCTCCACACTCTGCAGGCAGTCAGGGGTCCACGAGGTGGGGACTGCACTGCTGTGATTGCTGCTTGATCTGCCCAGGTTCAAGAGAGAAAATCCTCTCAGACAAAAGCTGAGAAAATGCTCCAGAGCTTGGGTAAGGTGCAACTGAGCTGCACCTTGAGCCAAACCCTCACTGCGGGCAACCCTATGACAGCCCACACTACCCACCCTGACAGTGGGAGGACCTGAGCCGCCCCAGGGCTGTGTCCTGCTGTGTTCGAGAGCAGCCACACCTGGGTGTCCGTGGTTTGCCATTGAGGGCAGGACAGTGACTTACACTTATAGAATTGCTGAGCTGCTTCACCTTCTGCTCTAACTGTTCTCGCTCTTGTTTTAAATCTGAACTCCACTTAAGTAACTTCTGTTTCTCTTCTTCTTTAGCTGAAAAAAAGAGGGATAGTTGTTAACAACAAACTCGTTGAAAGGCTGTGCTCGGAATGTTTGCCAAGGAAGGCACCTCCCCTGGAGGGCCCCCAGGTCTCACAGCTGAACCACAGAACTGGACACCCTTCTACTGTTCTATGTTCAGGTTTGCATAGAAAAGTGTCTGAAGCTTAGGCTGGGCTGCTCACAGACACTTCTCATTTTTCCTCCCCAAAAAGGTGGTACACAAGCTTTCTGTTTCATTCAATAAAAGGTTTTCATTTTACTTTATTTTGGGTTTTCTGAGACAAGGTCTTGCCATGTAGTCCAGCCTGCCCTGGAACCTACTATGTAGCCAGGCATGCACCACTGTGCCCAGCTTTGAAAACAGAACAAATACTGCCTCAGTTGTGAGGGGCTGAACCTAGGGTTTCGTGCACGCTGGGCAAGCATACTATCACTAAGCGACATCCCCAGTCTTACTTATTGTTTGAGACAAGGTTCCACTGAGTTGTATCCAGATTTGCCTCAAACTTGCAATCCTTGTGCCTCAGCTTTCCAAGTAGCTGGGATAATAGGCGTGTGCCACTGTGCCTGGCTAACAATGTCTTTCTTCCTTTTCTGTTTTTCTGAGACAAGGTCTCGCTATTAATTCAGGCTGGCCTTGAGTTCCCTAGGTAGCTCAGGATGGCCTAGAACTCACAGTGATCCTCCTGCCTCAGCCTCCTGAGTGCTGGAATTTCAGACATGTGCCACCATGCCTGGCAAAAAATTTCTTTTTGGAGGAGGTGAGCCTTACCAAAAAAGGGCTATGAGTAATCCTTTACCTGCTTTGTAGGCAATATAGGAATGAACAATTGCTAAAGTTCCAGGCCATGGAATTGCTTCTTCTTTCTTCAGCATCTGAAAAGAATGTGAGAATTCTACCTTGAGAAGGAAGTAGACACACACTCGCCAGGTTAAGAGCAAGACAGTGTCTGATATACAAGAAGCGTTTGTGGTTTCCGGACTACAAAGTTTTAAATGTCAAAGGCTGCAAGAATCAAGACACTTGTGTCCAGGCTCAGAAAGAGGCCGGGACCTGGCCGTCGTTCCTACCTTCTCGTGGCCACACTGCCTCAGCCACTCTGCACGGCTAGAGTCATGGGAACAAAAGCTGCATGTCAGGATGGAGGCAGACACCACAGGCAATTTCGTCTTTGAATTCACATGGTCTGCTTTTCTCAACTTTGCCATGTCCCTCAAAAACGTTGTTTAACACGTGGTGCTGGGGATTGAAACCAGGGCCTTGTGCACACTAGGCAAGTGCTCTGGTGCTGAGCCACATGCCCAGTCCTTATTTTAATTTTACTGTTTTTCATTTTTTTCAGACAGGGTCTCGCTATGTAGTGCAGGCTGGTCTTGAACTCGAGGTGACCCTCCTGTCTCAGGCCCCCCGCCAGTGCTCAAATTGTATAGGTATGCACCACCGCGCCTGGCTAATTTTGCTAAATTGGCCAGGCTGGCCTCAAACTTGCAATCCTCCTACCTCAGCCTCCCAAGGTCACAGAGCAGCATCAGAAGAGAACAGAGGGGCCGGGGATGTAGCTCAGCAGTGCTAGCCCTGCCTGGCAAGCACAAAGCCCCGAGTTCGGTCCCCAGTACCAGGAAAAAAAGAACAGAGAAGCCTATTTTACACTGGAGACAGTGGGATGAAGACCAAGATTAAAAGGAGAAAAGCAGAATTTTCTCAAATCAAGTTTTTAAAACAACTAAGCAGGATTCCAGTGCCTGCTGGGCTACTTATTATTTATATACAGACTTGCGACAGGTGATAATGCCAAATAACTAGGGTTTGAACCCAGAGCCTCTACACTGAGCTGGATCCTCAGCCTTTTTTGAGAGAGTCTTGCTAACTTGTTAAGTTGTCCAGGCTGAGTCTGAACTTGTGATCCTCCTGCCTCAGCCTTCCAGAGTACTGGATTAGAAGTGTGTTCAACTACACCTAGCTATAATAAAATCTTTTATAAAGACACAGAAATACACGAGTAACTGACAAAATGAGACCAGGAACCAAACAGAACCAAACAGAGAAGGAAAGAGGTAACTAGGACAGTTACTCACGGGTGTGCCTTCTACATTTTAATATCGACAGCACTTTACAGTTAGTACTCTGAGCCTAATGATAACAGAACTGATTGATTGATTGGTACCAGGGATCAAACTCGGGACCTTGCGCTTGTACCACTGATCTAAATCCCCAGCCTGAGAACAGAAATTAAAGGTGAAATGGTGTTACTTGAACTAATCAACTAGGCACTTTCCTTTAAGGATTTTTAATCCCAAAGAAGAACTCTAATGCCATATACTGGATTTGGACCTTTTTGTAGAGGATGAGGCAGGATGAACTTTTGAGGGACTTGACATTTAAAAAGAAGATCTGTATTTCGAGTACAGGGAAGCAGGTCAGGTCTCTCCACCTGCTGGGGACATTCGGAGGGCACGAGGCTGTGCCTGAACGCTGCACACAGGTGGAGAAGACATGGTCTGGAAAAGGACCACTGTGAAGAGAAGAGGATCCCACGCCCTGGGTAGAGGGAAGGGAACTCCTCCTCCTTCTCCTCCTCTTCCTCCTTGGCTCTCCCTGGTCCCAGCCACCCTCAGTACCTGGTCCTGACATCTGGGACAGATCCACATGCCCTTGGGGATGGTTTTTAGAGGCGGGTCGAGGCAGTCCAGATGATATACACGGGAACATGTGTCACACATCAACAACTGGCCACTTTTTCTGCAAACGCTGCAAAAATCCTCGTGGATATCACCCTATGAAATTGAGAGGAAAGGTAAGAAAAGGACAAAAAAGGTCAAGTTTTAATGTCAACATGTATATTCTGGATGCACAAGAGTATCTCAGGGTGGTCGGCTGCCGTGGACGGTGCTGTGGACGGTGACTGCCCCCTCCAGCACATCAGGGAAAGGCGGAACAGTCACAAGCCAAGTGCCCCCAGTTCCACAGGGCTAAGGTTCTCCAGACTGGGGCAGAATTTTAAACTTCAGTTTTTTTCAGGAAAGCTCTATAATTGCCTAGACCAAAATTAACTTTATAGGTGATAGTTCAGCATTTATGATGTTTGCTAAGAGTCCAACTCACAAATCAGAAATTGTACAAGCAGTGAAATCCATTCATCGAAGTGTCTCACAGTATAATACAAACAATCCTCATTACCTGTCATTTTAGGGGAGGAGTTTAAAGACTGGGAAAGAGACAGGAAGTAGTCTCACTAAACTTGCTTACTAAGGGGGGCAGTGTAGTAAAAGATCAAGCAGGAACATACTGAATCAGGAACAAATTGAACTCATACAAGCTTTCTTACACCAAGACTAAGAAGTCAAAGCAATAGCTGACAATTTTCTCCTGAAGTCAGTCGGTAGGTGGGAGGCTTTACTCATACAAAATACAGCACCAAATGGAAAAAGACAAGCAGGCCCAGGCCACTCTGCCACCCCTGATGGTGAGTTTTAGTACTCAGGTGAGCCTGTTGGAGCCCTCGGAACAGAAGACACCTAAGAAGTAGATGTATTTAAAATTTGGAGAACGGAGGGAGGTAAGAAAAAGAGTTCTTAAAGAAGTATTTTTCAGCAAGTCAGTCCCAGCCTGTTCTCTAGATGGGACTCATGCTGAGGACGTCAACGACCGGAGTAGAAGGGACGAGCCAGAGGTGATGCGGCAAGTCCAAGCCAACATGTCGCTTTAAGATTTCTAAATCTAGCTGGGGATTTAGCTCAGTGGTGCCGCTGCCTGCCTCGCAAGCACAAGATCCTGAGTTCAATCCCCAGTACAAAAAATAAAAACAAACAAACAAATAAATAAATAAAATTCTAAGCCTTTCTGCCAGAAGGCCTAATACAGGACCTTTTCTTACAGGAAGCAATAACACAAAGCAGTGGCCTGTCCTTCCCTTCTGTGGCACCACCCCTCCCCAAACACCACAATCAGAACAGAGCTCCACAGACCCACACTTCCTCTAAAGGAAAGACAGTTTCTCTGTAATTCACTAGGGTATGTGGCAGCCTAGAAAAAGTTATCAATACATCATAGCAGTTTGGTCCCTGGATTAACTGTGGCTTTCTTCCTTCACATTTTTTTTTGTACCAGGAATCAAACCTGGGACCTTGCACTTGCAAGGCAGGCGCCGGAACCACTGAGCTAAATCCCCAGCCCCATGTTTTGCATTTTTTGAGACAGGGTCTCAATATGTAGAGTTCAGGCTAACCGCGAACTTGTGGAGATCCTCCCGCTTCAGTCTCCTGAGTACTGGAATTACAGGCATACCCAACCACACCTCTTCTTTACTCTTAAAATCAGGCTTAGGGGTGCTTTATCCCTCTGGAGAGACTTTCTGAACTTTAGCCCCATGCTGTAAGTCTGCATCTTTATGAAGTTTATAAGGAATGTATGGCTTCGGGACTGCTTTACATGAACCATAGATAAAACTGTGAGTGGTGAAGTGAGTTTTGCTGGACATTGTAGTGAGAGGGGCTTGTCAGGGTAAACAGAGGTCTCCTTGTTCTCCTTTGCTTCTAAATGGAGAACATCAAGAAGTAAAAGGCAGAAAGTGCTGAAAATAAAAATTAATTTCTTTCAAGTTTCTAAAGGAAAGAAAATTTCTTATCACATTTACATACCATAAAGCAGTAGTTCCTAATAATTTTTGGTCAGGAACGCTTTACACTCTTAAAATCACTGAAGATCCCAGAGAGCTCTTAGTTCTGTTAAATATACCTAGTGTATCTGCTATATTAGAAAGGGACTTTAACTTTGGGGGTGGGTATTACTGGGGACTGAACCCAGGGCACTGCATATGCTAGGCAAGTGCCCTACCACTGAGGTATACCCCCAGCCCTTTTATTAAAAACTTATTTTGAAAAAAACATTTATTTTGAGACAGGGTTTTGCTAAGTTTGCCAGGCTGGCCTGGAACTTGTGATAGTCCTGCCTTGCCTCCTGAGTAGTTCAAATCACAGTCCTATGCTACCACACCTGGCTGAACTTCTACCTTCGAAATAGTAACTACAGAATCACAGAAAGTTATAAAAATGGCATAATAAACTTTTTTGGGTAGTAGTGGAAATGAACCCAGAGTCTTTACACTGACTCCCTTCCTTTTCACTTTTTATTTCGGGACAGGACCCCACTATGTCACTAGCTTAAACTTGCTATCCTCCTGCCTCAGCCTTCTAGAGTACTGTGATTACAGGTGTCTGCCATCATGCCTGGTAAAAAATTAAAAAACTCAAGAATATACAAGTATGTATTCCACAGTCATTATATCACATATCTCCTAGCATCTGGAAAACTGTGTAGCCCAGCCTGGTTCAAACTCACAGTGATCCTCTTGCCTCAGCCTCTCAAGTGCTGAGATTACAGGCATGTGCCACCACACCTGGTCTAAAGGTTCTTGTTTTATAATCCCCTGAAAGTCTCTGGGACCCCAGACTTTACCTTGAGAAATGCTACCCAATAGAAATAAATGTAAAAGTCCAAGGCATTTCACCACACAGAACAGGTTCTTTTCCTAAAAGAAATTCCTGAAGGCCCTACACCCCATCAAAAAAGGCTTAATTTTGCTGACTGCTCAGATTATGACCATTACCAAACCGTTGACAGAAAGATGACGGACCCACGATTCTTTTTGTTTTGTTTTTTGATACAAGGTCTCACTATGCAGCCCAGGCTGCCCTCGAACTTGAGGCGATGCTCCTGCCTCAGCTGCCCAAGTGCTGGAATTACAGGCGTGTGCCACCACACCCAGCTACCACAATTCTTTGCTATGAGTGGAGGAGACAGGCTGGCTCTATCAACATCAACTTCATTGTGTGCTAAAAAAGTTTATAATTATGTCAACATATTCTTCCTTCTCATAAAAATGATGATAACAGCAACAAGGTACATCCTGAGGATTACTGTCTGGCTGGGTCTTGTATTACCAAGTCCTTCTAGATGGTTATTGATCCCCAGGAAATGCTCACCTCTCAACTGTTACTGTTTAATTAATGTTGTTGAGGCGGATGCTGCCCAGTAGCAAACCCACAGAACTCTGCGTGTTGATTTTAATCACTGCTGCTGTTAGGATACTGCAAAAGCAGAAGTCAGTTATCTCTTCAGAGGAAATCTACTCCACTGGGCTTAACTTAGGAAGTTCTAAACATATTTAGTGGTTTTAGAAACGCTTTCATTTACCTTCAGATTTCAGAAAAGAATAATGTTTGCATTTTAAGATGAAACCTGGGAGAAATTTTTTCCCCCTGGTTCTGGGGAATGAACTCAGGACCTTGTGCTGAACTAAATCCCTGGTCCCTGAGAAATTTTAAGTTTGTGATTTGATCCAAGTGACTCTTTTGGGTCTAGACTCGAAAAAAACAAAACAAAACAAAACTTAAATCCTCTCAACAACAACAACAACTACTACCACTACCACAGAAACATTACTTAGGAGAGAGACACCCATACAACCCTAAAATCTTTGATCTCTCAGCACCAACGCACAGGAGAGCTGGCCATCTCTTTGGCAATATCGTGACTGACAATCTTTGGGGCCAGTAAGTAGAGTTTCTGACAGGGATGCCTGGTGCACATTAGTAGGAGAGTTAGAGAACCTGAATCAATTATTAATGCCAAAGTTAGGAACCTGGATGGATTACTCAATCTTTAGAGCTGTGATAGTCTACAGCTTCCAGCTCTGTCCAAGGAAGGAAACCCATCAGAGAAGAAAATACTCCTATGGTCCTGTGACCCCAAAGATAGTGCTTCCTTTGTTGCCTCTGGAAATGCAACTGTGAATGTTCACTGGTGTTCTTTTGAAAAGGCTACCGCGTTCGTAAACTCTGAGAATATTCAAGTTCAAGGAACATTTTCCTTGAGGATGGTCAACAACAAACTAATTCACAAAAGAACTGGGACATGGTCAAAATGAAATCCTTGGTTTCTCTTCTCAAACCTGATCTTAGTAAGTGGCAGCTCCAACCTCCTAGTAGTTGTTTAGGAGACGATTTCGTTTAGGTGCTACCGAAGCAAGCACGTAGGACAATTTAACCTTGAAAACTCCCCCTTTCTCATGCTCCATATGCGACCCTGCTGGGTCTTCAAAATATATGCAGTCTCGCGCACTTTTCTCCACCTCTGCTTCTACCATCCTCTTGGGCCAAGCGTCACCATCAGCTCTTGCCTGGACGACTGCAAAGGCCTCCTAACTACTCTCCCCACTTCCACAGTCCTTGCTCCACATTTCAGACACCGTACTTCCTTTAAAATCCAAGCTGATTTTACAGACACTTTAAAAGCAGTAAAAGTAGGCAAGAATCACCAAAGGATGCTAAGATCACCGGGCAATAATCTGTTGGGAAACTGGACATTTACTCTTCATACAGACCAAAGCTATCCTTTCTTACACAGGGAAAAGGACCTTTATGAGTGAAAAAATCTCAGGGAAATGATCTCAAGAGACGACAGCTATATCACCAGCAACAGGACAGGCTGCTGCCATGTGCCTCCTGAGGTGACACACTGAGAAAGACCCGTCATCACTTACTTAGTGTTCCACAAAAATGCACATCTTCAACTTACTCTCAAAGGAACAATCAGACAATCCAAATGGAGAAGCACTCTCCACGGCAAGTGGCCGGCCGTTTAAAGAATGCCAATGTTATGAAAGACAAAGAAAGGCTAAGAAACGGTTTCAGAATAAAGGAGACTAAAGGTATAATACCATGACAACAAATGTCAAGAGCAATTTCGGGTAGGATCCTGGAGCAGAAAAAAAAGTCACAAAGGCAATTATCAAGACAGTTGGGAGAAACCTGAATATGAAGTGTATACTACATACTAATACTTTATCAATTTAAATTCTCTCAATTTAGTAAATGGATGGTGGATCTATAAGCGT